CCCCCATCTTTACCTAACCTAGGATACCATGAAGGATACCAAGCCCGAAAAGAAAGAGATGCGAATATCACATTCTCGATATTGCGTTCCGTGTCTTCACTTTTACCCCCCTTTGCATCCTTATCCCTACTCATCTCGACATCCTCGTTTCCATTCCCTTTCTGTCTTGGATTCGATTGCCATTTCGATTTCGTAACAGTAGTAGAAGCGGCAGCGGCAGCGGATGCAGCAGTAGCAGTAGAAGTAGGAGACCCCCGACGGGGTCTACTTCGGATTCCTGGCATTTTCTCCTTGCCTTCCTTCCCTAGATTCCCACCCTTCCGTAGTTCCTCTCCCCTTTCTCCCCTTTGCCCTTTCACTAGCTGTTCTCCTTCCCCTAGGTTCCCTCCCTCTCGTGTACGATTAACCGTTAATTTTATCTTAATCTTCGGTTTCGGTTTCAGTTTCGGCCTCGATTGCTCTCTTTCTTCTTCTTCTTCTTCTTCTTCTTCCTCCTTCAATTCCTCTGCATTTAATTCTTCGTCTGCTTCTGCATTTAACCGTTGTATATGCGCAGCACCACTGGATATAGACGCATACGCATTCGTATTCGTGGGCGTGGGTGTGGGCGCTGAAGCTGACGTTTCGAGAGCTTGGGGTGAGGTGTAGTGGGGTTCGCTCTCGCTCCTCGCCGCGTCGTCCTTATCGCCATCATCGCGTCTCGTAGTAGCTGTACACGTTGAAACCATTTTCTCCTCTCACTACATACAGTACATACAGTATAGGGTTTGTGCAATACACAATGCATGTAATCTATTAGATTAGAATGAAAACTCTTACTTTTGATATCTATATGCGTAGCTACCTAGTCATGTTTAATCCCCCCTTTTTTATTTTAGTTTAGTTGCTTGGTGGGTGGGTACGTAATTCTATTCTCAAGCTGTTTATTTTATTACTGTAATTCACTCATTCACTCCACATACACGTATTATACCAATCTCAATCAAAGAAAATACATCTATCAATTACTACCTACAGCCATGCATGCACTTACGCATTCATGCACAGTATAACCCCCTTCCCCCACCTGACGCAAAAAATAATATACTGTAGCAATCACCTTCCTTCCATTCTCTCCCATGCCAGAGAAGATCATAGGTGTGTAGTAGTGTAGTGGTGTAGTGTAGTAGCAAGACAATGTTATGAAGAGTTGCCACCAAACCCAAAGTTCGTTCTTCCCCATCCACTCTGTATACATCTCCCCCTCCCCCTCCCCCAGTCATTCGATCCATCTTACATTCCCTCAAACTCGCCTCCAAGATCATCTTCATCCAAATCCCCGTCCTGAATCTCCTTTGCCATCTCACGTTCGCGTTCCCGTGCTTCTTGGGCGTTCTTCAGCTCGAGTCTATGTTGGTTCATTGGGAATCGCATAGCCTGTCACAATGAAATCATCAGCAAATGTCCATTTACAAGTCAGGAAGAGTACATACCTTGACACTCTCATCATGAAGCGCAAGACAAGCTTGGATACGGTCATGGAACGCCTCACCCGGCTCCCTCGTAGCGTATACATCTCCAACCTCCTTACTCTTCATGAACCCCTTTTCGCGGTCCAAAGAAGCCTCTATAACACCATCCCTAATAGCCTTGGCAACAATGTACTCCGCAGACTCCTCACTCTCCAACTTCAATCGTATGCATATATCGCGAAGGGAGATTCGGGAGTAGGACAGGGACATCATGCGAATACCAGTCCTGATGACGTTTTGTCGAAGGCGGAGGATAAGAGTATATGTGCCATCTCGTCGGAAAGTCTCGCCATATTGCTTAATGGTAGTCTCGAACTCACCTAGAAGGCCAACTCGTACGGCTTGTACAAGTTGGAGGTATGGCTGCAGAGTGCGCTCCATGCTTTGGTCACGGAAAGTAGCACGCTCAGGAATATCACCCATCAACAGCTTAACCACAAGCAACAACTTGGTTGCGCTCTGCGAGAAACCTGCCGCGCTGGGGCTTGATGGCGCCTTTCTTGTTGCAGCAGTAAAGTGCTCATGAGCCTCGGTATATCGCAACTGAATAGCACGGATTCGACCCAAGTAGTACAGATATCTCGCAACCTGGTTATTCGATGCGCTGTCAGGGAGTCTTGTGTGTGATACGAGAAGATCGGCTTGGCTGATATGTGAGGTAGATAGGTAATTTCGTAGAAGCAGAACGATAATCGTAGATTGAGTATCAACATCCTTTCGTAGAACCGCTGTCCGAAGAGCAGAGAGAAGAGCAGGTCGGATGGAAACAACAGGTGATGAAGGCGATGGAGGCAATGGTGCCATCTGTTCACAGAAGAGGGAGTAGTAAAAGTATACACGGGCAGAAAGAGAATCCAGAGTTCGGCGGTTCAGAGTGTGTATCCGCTCAGCCAGGTACTGTGAAACATCGGCGCCCTTCTGGTTGGTCTTGTTGTCTAGGTAGTAGATTTGAATCAAAATACCAAGGAAGATCTCGATTTCGGGAATGATCTCTTTGACTTCCTTCTTCCCAGCCTTGTTTGCCTTGGCCTCTGAATCAATTTCCATCTCTGTCGAGCTTGGTTTTGCAAAGGTGGCATTCTCTCTACCAATGGCGTACAGAAGTGACTCTGCCGCAGGACCTTTCGATGCATATGTCTCTGTGATGACTTGCGCTAAGATATCGGGTGTAAGGCGTTTGCGGATAGAGGAGATTGATCGAAGGGCTCGGAGGGAGAATCTTGCATCGAACAACATAACAGCGCGTTCCAGTAATGGAAAACTGCCCTTGATATCTATACCCCAGAGTTAGCCATCTATAAACAGAGAAGAAGCGACAAGGTACATACCAGCTACAGCCTTCGCTACAGGATCAACCTTCACAGCACCATCCTCCTCAACAGCCTCCTCACCATCCATAGCCACATCACCCTCACCATCCTTCTTCCCCAGACCAGCAAGCTTCTGGCCCTTTGAAGGCGGCACAACGACCGTCATCTCCTCGTCGCCTTCCTTGGCCTTCTTGCCCTTTCCACCCTTCATCGATGTCGGCGCATCGTCTTTCATCTCGACGTCTTTAGCTCCATTAACACCATTCCCGACAGGATCGGAGCCGTTAGTGTGAGGTGTCTTGCTGGGCATATCGTCTACTTGGCGTCTATCCGCAAGGCGCCCTTTGTGTTAATTAGGTGCTCGGAGGTCGCGTCGGGTGCAGGTACGGGCTCGTCGTTGGCTGAGATGGAAATTCTGGAGGGAGTGTGGATGGCAGCTCTCTGGGAGTGCGAAGATACAAAGGTTAGGAATTAATGCAACTACAAAAAGTGTGTTGTTGGTGGAATGGAGAGAGTCGTTTGAGCTCTGGGGATTACAACGACTTGAAGCTTGAACAGGTAGTGTACGGTAGTCGCGATAGGCCAAAGTGGCAATTCTATCTTACGTCGTGTTTGCGGCCTGGAAAAGCGGACTGCGAAGATGCGCATGCACATGAATAAGCATGAACAGCATTTGAATTTCCGTAAAACTCTAAATTCATGTCACAATTATTATCTTCAGCTCAACTTCATATTTTTACAAAATACCAACTAGATTCTCTTGTACGTATCAGGGGAAATGGCGGTTTGATAGCTAAACTGAATGACTTGATCCTATGACGACGTCCGCAGAGCCGTCTGGCACTTGCATAGTATCACGTGCATATATAAGCAGTATCGGAAGTAAATGTAGATGTCATATTGCATGGTGTACGGCTTTCGTGCATTGAACGAGTGAATTCCAATTGTCCATGCCAGTTCCATGCCGTGGTTTCCTCTAAACGCCAAACCTTGCAAACTCCAATCCTCCACCTGTGAACTCCAACCCATCTGACCATCCCAAGTCGACAGCCATATCATTTTACAGTAGGAACAGTAGGAGCTGTACTTCAGTCGGAGTTCTTACCCCCAGTGACTTTAGCAGCTTGCACAGCAGACATCTTCGCAATCCAAGCTGGAGCAGGTTGAATCTTGCGGACAGTACGAATCTCATCGCTGGCGTAGCCGGGAATGCGGATATTGTAGTTGCGTTCAAGAGTGAGTTGGATATCCCGGATCTCGAGGACCTTGCTACCGCGCTCCTTGGCCATCTTACATGCGTTGTGCAGGACTTGGTCGACAAACGAGTCGGCGACTGTGAGCATAGACTGCGGATATGTTAGTATGTGACAGGAGGTAGAAGTAGATGTAAAAGCTGGATGATTGAAGACGAAACAAACATCTTCAGCCCGAAGAAAACAAACATACCTCTTCAACCTCCGGCATAAGACTCGGCCCATCACCCTGACCACCACCCGTAACCTGCTTGACAAGCTCATCCAACTTCTTCCGACTCAACACACGATTATCGTCACTCGCCATATTGAAACCCGGCGTCTTGGGCAGGACCGGCTGAGCCATAACACCACTTCCACTATTGCTAGGGCCGCCAGAGAACGTAGGACGCGATTGGTTGATCGCAACTGGTTGCGGCGGTGCAGCAGAGCGCTCGTCTAGATACTTGGGAATGGGCATCTTGTTGGTGACGATGTTCTGTGTCTCGCGTTGCGAGGGGTGCGAGTGACCCATGACGTGCGGTTGAGAATTATTCTGTGCGCCTCCGTTGGAATAGCTTCTCGCCGCCTGCGTTAATGCAGCCGAGTGAGTTAACGCACGAGGGATTTGCTGCGCTTGTGATGTAGCTGATTGAGGCGGACCGGCTGATTGAGGGACCGCTGATTGTGGAGAATTGAGATTCGGCCGTTGTTGCATTTGCGATATCGCCGTGTTTATTGGAGGTGGGACGCCGCCTTCCATTTTTATATTTGGGTTAGGGTTTTGGCCAGCGGGTTGGTGTGGCATGGAAGGGGCGGTGGAATTTGGCATCTGCCCTGGTTGCGACATTTGCCCATTCTGTGGCAATTGCGGTCGAGCACCGCCCATCTGCTGGTTTCTGGCGGCTTCAATCGCAGCATTCACTGTCTGGGTGTTTTGCAAAGCTGGGTTTTGAGGCTGCTGTTGAGGATTCATCTGAGGACGAACAGCTTGACCATTATTTGCAAGCGCACCACCAACTTGCGGCTGTGTAGGACTTCCTTGACCACCATTGGAAGCATCTCTAGCATCTCTGGAAGCTTTGGCTTGTGTCTGTTGAAGACGGAATGTATCCACGAACCCCTTGGCCTCGGAATGTGCCTTCTGTAACGCCTCTTTCTTCTCCTTGTAGTCCTTGTCTTCCTCTGGGTTCAAGGGTTTGCCGTCATTCATCCTCTTCTGTACCATAGCATCCATCTGCGTAAGTCTAGTACTAGAATTTTCCATAGATACCAGGCCCTTCAAGTACCTATTCTTGGCCTCCGCAATCCACTTCAAGGCATCAGGGCTATTCGGGTTCACGTTCGCAGGTACAACATAGGGGAACTTGGCGACATGGTCCATAACCTTCGCCGAGACTCTAGGCTGCGGCTTTGCCTGCTGCTGTATCTGCTCAGGATTTGGCTTCGGTGCACTATTCTCCCCAGCCTGTCCTGCCTGCGGCTGGCCCTGACTAACTGGTCGAGCAGCACCAGAACCTCCAATTCCAGCCCCGCCTCCCTGCTGAGCCTGCTGCTGCTGCGCCCGATAGTTCTGCATCTTCGCTGTCAAGGTCTTCGAGAACTCGAATATCTTGCGTTTGGCTTCCTGGTGCTGTTGAGTCTCTGGTCCATTGCTCTGCAGCTGGTTCCACAGCGACCTCAGCCCGTTCTCCCATTTCTCTTTATCGCTGCTAAACGCATCAGGTAGGCTGCGCATCTGCTCGGGCTTGAACATCGGGATATTGGGTCTTCGCTGCTCGCCCGGGGCAGGCTGCTGTCCCGTTGGCGCTCCCCCACTACCACCTCCGTTGTTCATATCGGCGTCGTGGTGATTGCTGAGTGGAGAGATTGCCCGAAATATTCCCCTGGAATGGCCAATAGATATGATATTTTGGCCTGCCTAGACTCGAAAATCGCTGCAAATGATTCGATAGATTAACGGTACGTCGGTCTAGATTATGAGGGCGTAGGTATCTGAGTCGGTGATGATGTACTTGTGTAAAAGACTTAAATATGGTGCGAGACGAAGTCGGCTTTTAGGTAGAGCTCCGACGCTAATCTTGCTCTTTCAGCCTCCTTCTTGCTACCTTGCTGCGCACCATTCCGCATCAAGCACTTGTCGTAATAGTTTGCGGGGGTGGCGCTGCAACTCAGTGACTCGAAAATATACTGTATTATTGCCAAAATAGGATAGATAATTAATTGCTGAGCTAAATGTAGATATTTGAAAGTTTGGTGGCGCGGCCAAGTTGGAACTCTGAGCTCTCATCTAATATTCTTGGAGAATGCAGGGTTTTAAAATAATATGAGCTATGTAGGTAGATCTTGACAAGAGGGCTCACATGTTTGGTTGTGAAGATTGTCTCGATATTACCTTCCTTGTTGAACCTAGTCTTGATCATTCCAAAAGGCTGGAGAGCGTGCTGGTGAATACTTAGGTACTACAGCATGAATGGAACTCATTCACAGAGTCGGATTGAACAGGCCAGAGAACTGGACTGGTCAACCTGCAATGCGGGTGGATGAACTCATGAAAGTAGCTGATGAACAAGGGTATGTCTCACTCCAACCAGTAGAAGACTTGTTATACAACAAACTGACTGATGAATCCTATGCAGAGTATGGTATCCTGAAGATGCTATCTAAATTTTCCAAGCAGACAACCAACCAAACCGAACGCTATGCTGAGTTCCATGCCCGCCCATCCTTATATATTTCTTGGCCCAAGCCATGCGTGCCTATCTATAGTCATCAATCATAATCATAATCATCAAATCATTCAGCTGAGCCTTCCACCTCCATTTCGACCTCCACCCTTACACAGCCGTAAAAACTTCTGACCAGCCCCTGCCCTACTCTGAATCCTCGTCATCCGAATCAACATCCATATCCTGGACATAATAAGGCAGGTTGCAATCAACCCCCTGCCCCTCATCCTCACTCCCCTTGACCTCCACCACCTCCTCGCAGCTCTCCGGCTCCTCCAACTCATCGATCCTCGGCGGCGGATCATCAAAAATCAAGCTGATCCGTTCATTATCCGCCTTCCGCCTCAATCTCCTCGCACTCGAGCCAGCCTCATTCGCGCCCTCGAATACAGGTTGCACGTCTTCCTCATCCGTATCGCTGCCAATGCTTTGACTAAAGGTCCGTTTCTGCACACTGCCTGAGCTGCGCCGTTTTCGTCGCTTCTCGGCTTGTACTTTCTTCAACCATGCCTCCCGGTCTAGTTCCGGGCCTAGGATATCCTGTGTCTCGCAATTCATGTTGCGGATCCCGGTGTATAGTTTATTTGGGAGGTCGTTGCGCGGAGAGGCTTTGATTGAGGGTGCTCGGTCAGACTCGGCATCTTCGTATTGATGTGGTCTGATTACAGATTCGTCGTCGCTGTCGAAATCCTCGTAGTCCGACTCGCCGAATTCCTCGAGTGTGAAGTTTGCGTCTTTGATGACTGTGCGATTGTTATAGCGTAATGGTGGTGGTGGTGGAGATGATGAGGAGAGAGGTTCGTTAACGGGGGAGGAGGCGAGGGGAGCGTGGGGGACTGCCGCTGGTTGAGGATTGGACGGAGGAGGTTGAAGATCGCGGTGAAAGATTATTCGAGCGGGAAGAGGGAATGAAGCTGAAGGTAGGTCCTTTGCCATTGGGTATAATATTCCCATCTTTTGTTGGTATGGTGGAGTGGAAGTGCATGCCATGACGGCGGTTGTTCCCAAACGCATAGGAAGTTGTAGGCGTCTGCGGCGGAGATGAAGGCCCTTCCTGCTGGGCAAAATTGAAGTTAGGTGTAGCAGGCCGCATGGCTGCTGATTGAACCGGGCGTTCTCGTAATTCGAGATGCGCTTTGGCACTGGTGGGAGGTGAAAGTATTGTAGGTCAAGGCGTCAACGCCCGAGGTAAGTATCTCCAACGAGGAGAAGGAAGACGAGGAGGATTGCAGTTCATGATAAGCAATAGAGAAGCTCGGACGCCAGAGGGCTTCGCAATCTAAATCCACGGTCTCGTCTTATGGCTTTAAAAAGGGGTGTCAGAAATCCAGAGTGACTTCTGAACTTTCCTTTCTCGCGGGAGTGCAAGGATAAGCCGCCAGTACCGTTAGACGACAAAAATGCAGGGCGACCAATTGTCGACGCTCGCTTTTGGTTAAAGTAGAATAAATGGGCCAGCGTTGCCTGCTGGGAATAAAGAGGCGCAAATTTGGACTCGTTTCGGAGTGAAAACAAGTGCAGGGTGTGCTTGTTGTGGGAGGTGAGTAACGAGGTGTGAGTTGTCCGCGAGTATTAATCTCTGGGATGACGGTGAGGTGGGAGGGAATGCAAAAAAGTGCGACCAGCCGAGCACTTATACTCTTCACCACCAACCAATAACTATGCTCCAGTCAAAAAGCAGCTAACAACCTGTAGGTTGGTCCCGAGGGAAACACGCATGCACGACTGCACGACACGGCGGATTCGGGACCGTTTTGATTTGAGCGGAAAGTGATCTGAGTTGTTATGGTGCCGTATGGATTTCTGTAGGCCAATACAACCCGGGTTCAGCCTGTGTCGGGCAGCAATTGTTCTGGGTCCTCCCTTGTATAGCCGCTTGATTTGAAGCCGTAGTCTTGTTTGTTGCCGAATATGGAAAGAGCACGCGGATTGGATGGGAAATGCTTCCTTCTTCTTGAAAATATAGAAAAGTAATCGCGAGTAGTGCACAATCAAGTCCAACGAAAATGAAAATGTTGATGTGTACTGCGGGCCGGACCCAAAGAAAAGAAAAGTTTGGAGGGGTAGATTTTCCTGGGCACGTTCATCAATCCATCAGTCAGAGTGCGGGAGAGATGCTATGCCACTGGCGACCCCTGGCTGAAGACATGATTTTTTATATTGCGAAGGATTCGATGCGTTGGCAGCACAGGTGAAGAAAGAGAGAGACGGAGAAGAAAAGAGAAGAGAGGAGTTCAGCAGAAAGTCGGAAGAGAAGCAAAACCCTGGAAGAGTGGCATGCCATGGCATGGGTATGCAGCAATTCCCGCGCTTCTTCACCAATTGTGGGGAGCAGATGTAGGAGATGCGTTGGTAAGGCGGAAAAAAAAAGTGAGAGAAATGTTCTGCGCTTCATCCTCATTCGTAACTGAGTTACACTTTTCTTGGCTGGAGCTGGAGACTGAAAATATACGGAAGCCAATTGGGACGTGTAGATAATATGGTTATATTTAATATTTGCATCGAAGAGATATTTGACCTGAGGTCGCTATTCCTAGCCGTAATTAATTAATCGCGGTTCCAATCAACGACGCGTAAAGTAGTAAACACTTCAACTCACCTCAATCAACCACCACCACCACCACCACCACCACCAAACCCATCCACAATGTCTCTCCTCTCCCGGCATCTAGAGCAAATCTCCCTCTGCTCAGAATCAATAGCAAGCCTCCCGTACGCTTCAATCCCCCCTTTACCTTATAAACACGAACACACCTCTCTAACCCCCCACCAAGCTTCCCCCCACCCAAAATCTTCACCAACGCCCTCCTCTCCACCCCCGACATAACCTCTCTAATCCGCGACACCGAGCCCCACGAACGCGCCCTCTTCTCCGTCCCTCCGCCGCCCCCGCACCTCACCTCTTCAAACCCATTCCCCGACACCAATAAATCCTCGCGCCGCCAAACAGTCTTCAGCGTTGCCTCGGGAGGAGAAGTAACGACATCGTCCGGCCCTTCACGTGTCCCGCGCAGGAACACGGCTGTTGCTGCTGTGCTAGGACCAGAGCTACATCAGGAGGTTAGGAAGACCGAGGGGAAAGGGGACATTGATATTGAGGTGTTGCTGAGGGGCGTAGAGAAGCTTAATGCTGTGTTTGAGGTGAGGGGAGTGCCGGAACGGGTACATAATGTGAGGTCGAAGTATGGGAGGCTGAAGGACAGTGTTGAATTTTATGAGAGGAAGGCGCAGAGACTAGGCAGGGACTTGGAGGGAATTAACAGGGGGGGATCGGTGGGATGAAGAGGAGGAAGAGGAGGAGTTTGAAGGGACTGGGCCGGTGGAGGTGGAGATAGAGGTTACGGACGAGGATTTAAGAGCTGAGGAGGAAGAGATTAGGGAGTTGGAAAGGAAGAAGAGAGAGTTGGAGGAGAGAGTTAGTGGGATGGAAAGGGATCTAGGGGGGTTGTTGAGGTAGGGTTTGGAGGTCTTGTTGGGAGTTGTGTGGCGTTTGATACCCGGGAAGTTTGTGAAGGCACATCGTAGTCAATTGGGGATATATTGTAATCCCCACCCCGTTGTTGCAGTTCTTCACCCTAATGTTTCTGTTTCGCTTTGCTTCGGAATGTTCATTTACAGCCATCAATGTTTACAAGTACGCTCTGTACAGGACATTCGAGGAATTGAAGCGCCTGGCGTAGAATGAGTGATTTGGACGTGGAAGTTAGAAGGGGAAGGTATGTGATAATTCTTAGACTGATAGTTGCAATTTCTGCTCCTCTTGCAACATAGTTTTCTTCTTCCATTACAGGTTTTGAGATACAAAAGCAGCTTCGATTCTCTATCATACTGGAAGCAGCTATCCTATGCAAGCGCAGAATAGTCTATATATTTGTTGGTTTTAGAAGATAAGCACTTCTCCAGGGTCTTCTACACTTACATTTTCTGATTTGCATTAGCAATCAGCTTCGATTGGTTAGCCAGTTTTCGGGTCTCACTTGTTTTCTTTCCTCCTTGTATCCGACTCTACTTCAATACTCAAGCTGATTCAATCTTCCTTCAGCCCCACCATCGACTCTTCTAGCGTCTTATTCTTGTTCTCCATTCAGCTTATTTTCTGCAACTCTTGTAGGATGTCTAGCTAGGAATTAAGCCTCCTTCTTTTCAAACCAAAAAGGCCTCCAACACCGACGACTAAATAATATATCCCACTCCCAGCCTCTCGGCCGTTGGTACGAGTCTACCTCTTCAAACCTGAGAACAACCATCAGTTCGACTTGGACTGTTCTTCAATCTTCACACCAAAGCTTGTTTTCCAACATTCATTTGCGTATTGTGATCGTCCTGCGCAAAGTGTCGTCGCCGACTCGCTGAGAGTGGGTATTTATCCCCCCTTACATCCTTTCAAACTGCAGTCCTGGACTTCCATCCTCTCCTCAATTTTGCGGTCTCTGGCGCGCCTCCTCTTCTGAGACAATACTAATACCAAGGTCCCTTTGACAGAAAAACCTCTTCACATTCACTCAGCACGGCTATCTTCAGAACCCACAAGACGTTAAGCGAGCAATCATTCGCCCGTCTTCAACCATCAGCCCGCAGTTCGAGATTCACCACGCCTTCTTTTTAAATGCCCCCGCCCTTTGCGCAGACTCAGATTCGCCCAAGGTCATCGACTCATCCTTCAAAACCTTGCGCTGTACACCACTGCACTGTACTTGTGCAATACCTTCTTCGACACGCCCTCTCGATAGTTAAAGTAACGTCTACCTACTACTCAGCTACATGTATCCTCCCCTCTTTCTTTCCCAAGCCACGCACTCGAGTCTTAAAACAAAACCCTCAATATCATCCTTAAAACCTCCCACTCTCTTCACTGATTTGCTTACACTGACATAGTCAACACTCTTCAACAGAAAACTTCACGTCCGAAATACAGGCTTCTGAAAACTGTGAGTCAAGGATCTCTCTGCCTCGCTCCATTCGTTTATTCACTTCATACTTATGGATTTTCAACTTCCATTCTCATTTACCTTATGTCCAACATGGAAACTCTAGTCCTACTATCACGTATCAATAACCGCTAATGACTTTCAGGTCTTCAAAATGGTTCCTGAAAACCCAAACTCAACCAAGAGCCCAACCAATTCCGCCACCGAAAAGAACTCGAGTGTCATAGATGGCGACGAGGAGCAGCGTGGTAGCATACCAAATGCCTATGGTCGCACACCGACCAGGCCCCTGACTGGCTTGGAGCGTGTGCAATTGCGCAGGTTTCAAAACCAAGCCAGAGCAGATGCCAACCGGAACGTATCGAATGGTGATCCGTCCCCCAGTATATCTCTGTCCAGATCCGAAAGGAATGGTCGCCTTCCTGGCCCCCATGGACATCCCAGAGATATGACTATGGTTGGTTCGAGCTTGAATGGAAATGGTATGGCCATGGGAATGGGAATGTCTTCCAACCGGTTTGCCTCGCAATCAGCTCCTTTGGATACTATAATCGACTATCGGGATGGACAATTACCTCAAAGAGAACGCAGTACCAAATCTCAGTCGGCGTTTGCTGAGGCCCGTGAGCAGTTGGATCGAGAAATCGGAGAGGCCCTTATGGAGGAGGATTTGGAGAATGATAATCAACAGAGGGCAACAGCTGAAGTTTACGGTACTCGCAAGAATCAGGGTAAACTTGACCCTCCCATCAAGAAACGCAATAGCAAGAAAAGCAAGGAGGCTGCTACGGTAATCTAATCTCTAGCCCCTTTCCCACCCATTCATTAACTAACATCCCCCCCTAGCTCATCCACCGACCCAAGAAAGAAAAAGGCGCCCAAGCCATCGGCCCCATCGACACCACCCCCGCCATCCTCGGACACCACGACCGCAGCAAACTCCTCATCTCCTTCGCAACCGTAAAGCTCAAGCCCGGCCGCACAGATCAATGGATCCCGTCCAAAGACGTATCCTACGACCTCACCCAAATCACCAACGGCGCCATCTTCGACTTTGACGACCCCGCGCACATCAAGCGCATCAACGTCTGGCGCCGCCAGATATTTGGCCGCAACTTCCCCAAGGAGCGCAAGACGCGTTCCTTCTGGCTGGAGGGCGAGAAGGAATATGTAGTACACTTAGTGCGCTTACAATTGCAACAAGGGGTGGGAGGATGCATCAAGTGGAATCGTCTCGCCAATGAGTATAATGAGCGGTTTTTAGGGAAGCGCCAACGTATGGGCGAGAAGCTACTTGCGCCAGGCCGCCAGAACTTGGGTGTCCTGCTGGCTGCGCGCCCGGCGCCGTGGCGTACGTCGGCTGCTATTCAGGGGATGGCTTATAAGTGGCGGGAGGTTAAGGCGTTGTTGAGGATGGCGGAGAAGAGGGCTGGGTGGGGTGTGGAGAATACGCTGGAGTATGAGGAGAGTGACAGCGAGAGTGAGGGTGCGGATCATAGTGCGGATGAAGAGGAACATCCTGACCCGAATCCGAACCCCGAGCCTGGTGTTTCGCCACGGAAGTACGGGAGTTATGGGACGAGAGATCGGGGTCAGGGGAAGGGGAAGGCCAAGTCCAAGTCCAAGTCTAAGGCTAAGAAGGTGGAGGTTGAAGCCGAAGGTATATCCGAGCAAGAGGATGACGACGACGACGATATGGAGATGGGGATGGACGAGTGCATAACCGATTCCGATGATGACATGTTGCTGTAAGAACAATCGGCGATTATTCCACTGCATGGACGAATGGATATGGGAAATCATGAACAGATAACAAAAACGATAATCAAGTCACAGTGTGCCAGGTAGCGTGGGACATTAAAAGTCGATAAGAATATTGTATTTTACTTCTCTACTATGTAAAACTTAATCTATTGTGAATTTGTGTTTGTTGGGACTTAACCTTTCAGCGGCCTATTGATAGCCCGCGTGATCTACCGCGAAACCCCCAGCGAAGAATGAATATGAGTTAGATATAATCCATAATTTACAAACCATGGATGGATGTCTGTCCGAACAAAAACCCATTTGCCATAATTCACCGGTGAAGTGTAGCATTCGACGCCAACTTACTTCAAAAATAAAAACCTCACATTCATCCACTGACCAAAAGACTCTTCATTTCAGAGATCACACAAAAGGACCTCCTAACATCCAATCACAAGCAAGCTTTGGTTCACTCTTGACAGGCCGAGGAAGGAGACGGATAGATGAATCTGGGACAGTAAAAGAGCCTCCCTCCATACCTGCCAGCAGATCACACTTCCCTGTCCTGCTTCTGTCTTCGCTCGGTTTTGCGCAGAACAGGACACTAGCGTACTTGTGATTTCATGTACAAAACAAACTTCGCAGCCGCCTTTGGACAGGCTTACTCATCAATCCTTCTTCAACAACACCTCAGCAAACACCATCTTGACCAAACTACACTTGCCTCTATCTTCACATCCACGTCCATACCCGCCTGCTCTTCCCCTTGGAGTTACACGGAAATAACGAAGGATATCGAGCGTGTCTTTTGGTGTACAGTACGCACGGAAAGATCTGCAGGATATTTGTACTGTGAGTTGCACCCTTCTCTTCTCACATAACAGTCCTTATGGGAATCCACTTCACAGTCGACTTTCCTACCCCAGCTCCCCTCTCCCCTCTATTACACAATCTGCCTCGATCCTGCTTCCTCTGGGTTTGCATACGCTCTCAAAGACCTACGGGGTGAAGTTCCAAAGTACTCAAATTTTCCTTCGTGGTTCCTGCTTCGTTAATTCAATCCGTCGATGCTGGACTCGCTTATCTTGACACTTCAAAATCTTTTGCCCAACAGTTCCTACATAGGTATTCACCTGCAGTTAGCAAGTCCAGCTGCGTTGATCCTGTTTGGAGTTCTGGCGTCAGAAAACTTCTCTACCACTTCAACTCGCAAAGCACAACTGCTAATCTTCCAATGTTTAGCTATTTGTTAATCAGCGATCTCTCTCCAGAAGAAAACGAGAACCTGGCCCACCACAAAAGGTGCATATCCTAACTCATTCTGCTTGTTTCCCCTTCCACTTTATTGGTTTCACAATCAGTTCACCATTCATCACCAGGTTATTTTAAAACAGCACAGCGCTTTCTCCTCCAAGTCAAGAGTGAAACTTTCACTAATTGGTATACCAGATTTACGAACGGCAAAGATGGCTGCTACAGCTGCCGGCATTTTTGAACATTTCAACCTCTCTTCCAACACTGACGTTCAACTACTCGTCACTGTCCTAGGACTCTATCTCAGGGGCAAGAAAGACCTAGCCAGAAACCAGAATGGAATTTCACCTTTGA